CAGTCTGTTTATCTCGGTTTATTCCTCTCTTTCCCTATTTGTCCTCCGCTTTCTTCATATCAAACTTGTTTATCTCCTCTTTGAATCCCTTCTTCATATCAATTTTTCTTTTTACCAGTTTAAACCTCTCTCTTTCCTATTTGAATCAAGTCTTCATTTTCTTCTGTTTACTCAGTAGCAAACCTCTCTCTTCCTATTTGTCCTCCGCTTTTCATCCTATCAATCTCCCATTTCTGTTTATTCCTATTTGAATCGTCTCTCTCTTCCTATTTGTCCTCCTTTGTCTCTTCCCTCTTTTATCTCAAGTCTCTCTTTCCTATTTCTCCTCCGCCAGTTCAAACCTCTCTCTTCTGTTTTTGAATTTATTCGTCTTTCTCTTCTTACCAGTATTCAAACCAATCTCCCAGTCTGTTTATTTGAATTCAAGCTCTCTTCCTTTTCCTCCGCTTCTTCATATCAATATCAAACCTGTTTCTTCTCCCATTTGAATCTCTCTCTTCCTATTTGTCTTCCGCTTACCAGTATCAATCTCTCAGTCTGTTTATTCCTTTTTGAATCTCTCTCTTTCTTCTTCCTCCAGTCTCAAACTCCCTGTCTCTTTTCCTATTTGAATCAAGTTCTTTTCTTCCTACTCAGAATCAAACCTCTCTCTCCCCTATTTGAATCTCATTTTCGTCTCTTTATTCAAATTTGTCTCTTCCTATTTGAATCAAGTCCCTGTTTCTTTCTCACCAGTATCAAACCTGTCTCTTCCTATTTGGATCAAGTTCTTTTCTTCTCTCTCAGTATCAAACCTCTCTCTTCCTATTTGAATGAAGCCCTTTTCTTCTTACCAGTATCAAATTTGTCTCTTCCTATTTGTATCAAGTCCTTTTCTTCTTCATAGTATCAAATGTGTCTGTTTATCTATTTGAATCAAGTCTCCATTTTTTTTCTTACCAGAATCAAACCTCTCTCTTCCTATTTGAATCAAGTTTGTTTCTTCCTACCAGAATCAAACCTCTCTCTTCCTATTTGAATCAAGCCCTTACCTGTATCAAATTTGTCTCTTCCTATTTGAATCCAGTCATTTTCTTCTCACCAGTATCAAACCTGTCTCTTCCTATTTGGATCAAGTTCTTTTCTTCTCACCAGTATCAAACCTCTCTCTTCCTATTTGAATGAAGCCCTTTTCTTCTTACCAGTATCAAATTTGTCTCTTCCTATTTGGATCAAGTCCTTTTCTTCTTACCAGTATCAAATGTGTCTCTTCCTATTTGAATCAAGCCATTTTCTTCTTACCAGTATCAAACCTGTTTCTTCCTATCTTGATCAAGCCTTTTTCTTCACATTTATCATTCCATTTGTATCAACTGTTTTTTACTCACATGGATTATAATTATATTCAAAAATGAATTGTTTTTCCCATCTGGATCAGGCGTGAATTATGTGGATTAAGAAATGTCCGATCAAAACAATATAGAAAAATTAATTATAACATTACGAATAGAGATTGATATATATTAAAATAATCTAATAATATATTACTAATATTATACAATAATACTCTAATATGAATATTACATAAGATATGAAAGTAATATATGATAAATATAAATCTATATAATAAATGAAAATGTCAGTGTGTCACTGTGTCACACATTTTCAACTTTACTTTTAGAGTCCGTAGCCTAACATATCATACTATTTTATTATGATGCCGACTTCTTGATCAAATTAAAATCATTCCGGGTCGCATCCAATCCCGCAATTCTGAAATTTTGGATTCCCAAGTTTTCATTACTGCAATTGTTTTCGGTGATTTTTTTACGTGATTTTTTTTCCGACGAATTCTTTGTACGATAAAAATTTTTATAACTTGTAAATAAATTTGGGAATAATCAAAATTAATTGCAAAATCCAGCGAAAGTCACCTATTAAATAAAAATAATTGTTTGTCCGGAAATTAAAGACCTTCATACATCAAACTGTTTTTAAATTAAGTGGTGACAGATGAATTCACATTGAACTTTTAATAGGTAAGCTTTGATATTAATACAATACTTAAATGCAGCGATCAATTTTAATTTCTTCGTAAGTTCATTGTTGCCTATTGCATCTACTCCTCCCTACCTATTGCAATGAAAGCCTAATCAATAGCCCTCCACAGGAGTTAGCTTACATTTTTATGTGATTGATTTATATATATATATATTGCTAATAATGATAAAATATGATTAATATATATAATAATATAATACTAAATAATTAATATTATATTTTAATACAAATAGAGATTCGGCTCGGCGTCAGATAATGGCTAGCGAGGCTCATGCAGTAGGTTTACTACTGTGTAGTGAGTTCAATCCTACTTTTCAGCCTCATGCAAAATTGGACATTGAACCCAACCAGAGCTGACGTAAAAACAATCAATAAGATTAATATTATGTAAAAATATTAAAATAATATATTGTCAATATTATATATTAATTTCTTATTGATATTGTAAAATAATACGTAATTATTTTTATATCGTTATAATTATTTAATATGTAATTATAATTAATTATAATTCTCAAATAGGATTTAATTAGATTTGGTTTCTTATGTGTTTTATTAAAGTTAAAAATTATGTGATAAAATAAAATAATTCGATTGAATTCTAAACTTCTTATACTATAAATGAAAGGATTTAAAAATTTATCAGTAAATATTTCCAGATAATATCTCCAGATCATATCTCCAGATCATATCTCCAGATAATAACGACACCTCTTGAGTGATGTTTAACGATGTTTTCTTAAGCTTTTAATAGTTCCTTTGATCCTCACCGGGTGTCATACACTAATGAACTTTTGACAGATTATCTGTCTATATAGTTTTTTATATATCACTGACCGTTGATAAAACTGCAATTCTTTTTAAAAGTCTGTTTTTCTTTTAAAGTCATATATCTTAAGTCTGAAATTTTAAGTAAGTCTTATCAGTAAAAATTCATAACGTGAGGAGTAAAAAAAAAGTTATTTGTTGTTTACTAAAAACCACTTATTCGCAATGTGTGAGAAACAGAATATATTTCGACGAAATTATCTTAGAACATATTGTAAAATGCTTGGTGATGTGAAAATATCATTGTGAAGAAGAAGAAGTTGGAGACGAATTGTCGGGAGAGGTAGGAACAGTTTTGAATCTCAAAATGGTGTGCGCATCGTCACCGTGTCCCCATGTAAAGTAACACAGTGCAAGACAGGAAAAGACAAACCTATTTAGAGTGGCCAGTCAAACACAGAGCCCTTTGTATGAAGTGCACAATTCTCACGTTCTCAGCTCACATCAAGGCACACTCTCGGCATACCAAACGCCTCATATCCGCCTGCATTTCCAGCGGCCAGTGCAGATCGGTAGCGATTTGCCGGCCAAAGGCTCCTAGCGGACCGGATTTGGGTCATTGACATAAAGTATTTGAGAATAAAAGCAACGACAACACAGACCCTATATTTATGATATGAGACATCAAGGATTATTATCTACTGAGATTTGTTTTATTCCTTAATTGATACAAAATTACTCATCTACAAAGTATTGTAAACATGATTGACAAAATGTTCAACTCAATAAAATATTTATAAGAATGAAAATATTAGTGTTAAGAAAGATATGGTAAGAAAAACTGTTTTTAAATTGCATGAAAAGAATGAAAATGATATAAATATCTATATAATCCAAATGGTTGTTATTAACATCTGTATGGGTTTATTAATGTTAATTATATATATATATATATATATATATATATATATATATATATATAATAAAACAAAAATTCGTTGAAAAATACACCCCTACCCTCCTAAAGAGTAACCACTTTTTCGAACGTAACTCATAATTAATGCAACAATAGTTAATAAAAAGGAACACTCTACTGCTCCTGTATGAATGATTGGATTCACCTGTATCCTTTGAAACAGTAAGTTATGAATTTATATGTGCGTTTAAAACTCGGTAAATTTAAAATAAGTTATTCCAATATTCGCTTGAAGATGAAATGGAACTAATGCTTTTAATTTAATTATATAATTAAATTTAAAGTTTTTAGCTTCCATTTTCGAAACATGTTTATTACTGTGTAGAGAAAAAAATATATTTTAAATCAGTTAATTTATAATATTTATGCTCTGTAAATTTACATTGAACACTGTTTTGTAAAAATAAAAAATATAAATAAGAACACGGATTATATATATATATATATATATATATATATATATATATATATATATATATATATATATATATATATATATATATTATATGTATGTATATATATATATAAAAAATATACATATATATATATATATGCCTATAATTGATTTTTTTACCATTGGTTAATTTTTGCGGCTTCCCATATTAATACTTCTCGTTTTCCTCTCATATGGTCATGTGTGACGTCACGAGGTGCGACGCGATTTTCGCTTCCGCGTTTCATATATATAGATTTAGTCGTTGCATTGAAATTTTTCATGCAACAAAAAACAGACTATCATTAAACTTTGTCCGTATATTGGTTGATATATTGAAAAGTAATTGTCATCTTTGATAATGGCTTATGTAAAATCCGAAAGATTATTTGGATTTAAAAATGTATCAATATCTTTTTTTTCTTTCAATGATAATGTTATTAAGAGATGGTCAGACAATATGAAAGTTAACTTAAAAAAAAATAAATAGACAAAACTTGTTGTTATATTATTTAATGAAACATGCATTAATGAAATATATATATATTAGAGGTAGAGAATTAATATTCTGTTGCCATGAATTCCTTTTGCACCATCCACTTAAGAAAGGTAACATTCTGCCGGTGTTTTCCCCTCATTTTATATATCTGAAGGTAAAAATTAAAATACCTTCTCTCGGACAGATTATCTGGTTACGGTAAAAAAAAAAAAAAGTCTAAAATCATTTTAATCAAAAAAGCTGGAAGCAGTGTAATTAGATGCTTATAAAATCTATAATAGCCACTAAGAATCAACCAAATAATTAATTTGCATGCCTTTCTCAGACACGGTCAGTTTTAAGTGCTTCCAAGGCATAGATAGATAGATAGATAGATAGATAGATAGATAGATAGATATCAGATCATATCCATCCATAAGTTCTGTCCGAATTTTGAATAAAAAAAAAACAAGTGACCAAATGTTACATTTAATTACAGATTCAATCAACAATGTATTTTCCCTGATTATCTATGACTTCCTTCCATCTATTAACAAGCTTACTAATTCCATTACTGTAAACTTCTTTTGGCTTTGATTCGAAGAACTCACAAATGTCAGTTTTAACCTCTTCCTGTGTTACAAAAGCTGTTTCTTCCAAATGATTCTGTAAGCTACGAAACAAATGGTAGTCTGAAGGAGCAAGATCGGGAGAATAAGGTGGATGAGGAATTTTCTCCCAACCAAGTTCTTCGATCTTTTGTGACGTGATTCTTGCTGTGTGGGGTCGCGCATTGTCCTGATGAAACATCACCCCTTTTCGATTCACTAGAGCAGGTCTTTTTTTCTCAAAGCTTGGTTCAAACGCTCTAATTGCTGACAGTATATTTGAGCATTAATTGTTGCATTAGGTGGTAAGAATTCAAAGTGGATTATTCCTTGGCGATCCCACCAGATTGAAAGAAGAACCTTTTGCCCATGAAGTTCCCTTCTCGGCTGTGGCTGGGGTCCTTCCCCTTTACCAAGCCACTGTCTACGACGCTTAACATTTCGATAAAAGATCCATTTTTCGTCGCCAGTCACAAGTCTATCCAAAAAAGGTGAAACAAGTTGGCGAGAATGGAGAGAAGAGCAGATGTCAACTCGGGATTTGAGGTTGTTTTCAGACAATTCATGAGGCACCCATTTTCCAAGTTTAGGAACTTTTCCAAGTTGTTGAAGATGACGATGAACAGTTGTATGGTTTGAACTGAGAACCACTGCCAATTCCTCAACTGATAAAGCAGGATTTTCTTCAAGGGCTGCTTCAAGAAGCTTTTCATCAAACTCAACTGGACGTCCGGTTCGATCTTCATCTTCAAGGGTGAAATCTCCACCTCTGAATTTTGCAAACCATCTTCTGCAAGTTCTTTCATTCACACATTCCTCTCCATAAACTGAGTGAATGTTTCTAGCCGCTTCGGCTGCTGAGTTTCCTTTCTTGAACTCATAAAGCATTATGTGCCTCAAATGATTCTTGGGTACTTCCATGTTAGCAGGGTTTTAATCAAACAAAATTTAATTTTATTGTTCTCTGAAATAAAATTTGATCAGTTTAAATGCATCTAAACATAAAAATAATGTTCATCTCCATTAGACATTATAAAATACTCTTTAAATTTCGTTCATTTTAACAAAAAAATTAAAATTCGGACAGAACTTATGGGATGACCTGATAGATAGATATATAGATAGATATATCTAAATAGATAATATATATATATATATGCTGAGGTGAATAAATAGATTAATACGTTTAAGTAAATACCATAGAAAAAATCGTTTTAAATTCACACATTTTTTTTTTCTAGTGTAAAAAATTTTTTAGACTATGCTCATAAAATTTATATACCAAGCCTATACGACGCGAAGAGATGGAATCTGATCCTTTAAGCACGTCATATAATATCCCAAACGAATCAACTAATAGAAAGATTACAATCATTTTTCCCCCTCATCTCATTTTTATCCAATCAAAATTTTGATGAGCGGCCTATGACGATATCTATTTAAAGAATTCATAGATGGGATAAGAATGATTTTGAACCAAAAAACACCATCCTTTAACAAGTGTTCCAAGAAATATGACTCAAAACTTTCCAAAACAGAAACTAACCTAGAATTTGAATAAGAGCACTGATAACACAAGCTTTGAATCCATCATAAAAATTCAGGATGTGGAATTAGTAAATGCTAAGCACTTCAAATACCTTGGTATATGAATCAGTTATAACAAATTTAGGATAGGAGGTCGAAAATTGAACTTTTTTTAAATAGGTTTTTATTTAAAAGATTGGTACTTGTTTTATTGTTTTACCGATTATTGCGACAAACCAAAATATTAATCTTAAAACTCGGGCCATGTTCTTAAATTGCTTCGTCAGATCGAAACTTTCATCTGGATGTCATGAATGGCGCCAAACCCATTCAGAAATATCTAAACTGTCAGCTGTAGATACCGCCTTTCTAAGATCAATTGTTTAAAATGGCCTTGAGCAAATGAAGCCTGCTTATCTTAAATCCTCGAACATTATGACCTGGCGCTACATAATTTTTACCTGTACCAAATAATAGAAACGTTATCACTTTAGGGCTTTCAACAACAACAACAATTAAAATGGATGTGATATTCATTTTAGTTGTTGCCGTTGTTGGTAGTTCTCAAATGGTATAACTCAAATGGTATAAGTCAAATGGTAGTCCTCAAATGGTATAACTGAAATGGTTTAAATCAAATGTTATAACTGAAATGGTTTAACTCAAATGGTATAACTGAAATGGTAGTTCTCAAATGGTATAACTGAAATGGTAGTCCTCAAATGGTTTAACTGAAATGGTATAACTTCAAATGGTATAACTCAAAGAGGAAACAATGACATAATCAAGATGTTAACGTTCAACACAACTTCAAACAAAAGGTTAGGAAGAAAACCATTATCAATAATGGAGAGAGAGATAACAGCTTTTGGGCCTAAAAAAACTCATTTCTTGAAAAGTGAAAGATCTTATAAATTTCAACCGGAAGCAGTACTGAATGTCAAATGTTTCCTTATAAAAAACAAAATTAAAACGACTATTATTATCAATACCGTTATCCTTATGGCATTTGTGCATTATGTTGTGTAACAGGCAACACGTTAATGAATGCCTTCTCAGGGCACAATTGAAAAAAAGTCTACATCGTCTATCCCCAGTTATTATGCTAAACAAAGAGCCGAAAGCGTTTGATCAAAATTTTTTTCATACGTCAAAACAACACACAAACGTGTGTACGTATGTGCGTATTTCGACGCATGAGTACTCAACAGTTCAGTTTATAACTGAACCACTAGACTTACACTTTTATGATTTGATTATAGTGGTATAGGCTTGTGTAGAACAAGTTACCCATAACAGAGAAATGGTGCACAGTGGGACCCGCAATCATAGAACAGATCTTCTCATATTTTGTTACCACAGAACTAACCTCTCCGGAATAATTCCAAAGCCTAAGAACAGTAAATGTACTTAAACATGACTCTATTCGGAAAGATAAACTGGCTGAAAATCAAAGCAATCTACCTTTGTTATTTAACCCATAGCTAGAGGGAGATTGATTCATTCTTTTTTTAATGGCATTAGCTTGAAGTAAACGAAACAGAATCGACCAGAATTTAAACCCGGCATGTAGATTTTACTTTCATTTATAAATTGTAGAATCTGAGGGCCAATAAAGATTCCCTAACACTCATTAATAGTTTTGTGTTATTTCTTGGATCTATTTTTTTTTTTGTTTTGTTTTGTACTAATTTGTGATTTCTAGGCGCTGATATATTTGAATAAAAAAAAGAAATTGATGTAAAAAGACTGAAGACAAAATAAATAAGAAATCACAGGAAATTATCATCAGAAACAATGAAATTTTACGTTAATTGATCGAAATTGTCAAAAAAGCTCATTTTGCCCTTTGCAACATTTTATTCATTTAAAAAAAAAATGAAATGGCGGTTCTTTAAGTTTTTATTTGACGCCACAAGAAAATTTATTCTATTTACCCTAATTTATTTACATTTTTGGAACTGCTAAAAATTCCATGAATTTCAAAAACTGACTCGGATATTAAATATTTAACGTTAAAGACACAATCAATCAATTTTGTTTTAAGGACGTCTGTTAATTGTTGCTGTTTTCAGATCCACCCTGAACCGAGGTGGTAGCACCTGTTAGGACCCCAGCTATGGGTAAATAGTGAACCCTCCCTAACAAAAATAAACAGTACATTTTTATAATAAAATGAGCAACAATTCATTTTTATAGCAAAATGACAATCAATGCAAGACTAAAATACAAAAATATGTTTTTATAGTAAAATTACCAACAATACATTTTATCATCTACAAAATATATATCTAAACATACATTTACTCCGATAGTATAAAACTAGATGCGGATATATATATATATATATATATATATATATATATATATATATATATATATATATATATATTTTTAAATCAATCAATCAACCAATTAAACAACCAACATGAAAGAATTTTCAAGAGATTATTTTCTTGTTTTTTTTTCACTAATGTTTACACAATACAAGAGTGTTACTGTGTGAAATTTTATTAGCGTAAGAAAGGGCAAGATAACGGGAAAGATAGCTATATCTAGATTTGAAGAGATAATTAGCGAATAGAATTTCAGAGGTCAGGCAGAAACGTTAGAAGGATAGAGTTTAAGTAGACTTTAGAAGGAACCGGAAACCCAATCCTAAGCAGGAAACAAGGGATAAACCTCTACTCCTGTTCAAAAGACTGGGGAGGAGTATGAACCGGACGACAGGCGAATCTAACTAATAATATTATCCTACAATCAAACGGTATTCCAAAATATAACTTCAACAAAACTATAAAATAAAACACATATATCACCGCCTCTTGTAATTATGGCCACATAAATACGTATAGGCACAAAAGCTAAGTATCATTTACCATGTATTCAATTGCGAAATCAGAATAATATATATCATTATTTTATTAATCCCAAGAAAATTAAATTTTGGCATTAAATGACCCATAAAGGAATTAATATGCCATTAAACAAACAAACAAATCAATCAGTCAATTAAGGACGTCTTTATAGAATATCATTCGAATCTTTGGCGCTGTAACAGTTTTCTAATTATAAAAATCAGATGAAACATTGATCTTACTCATATATCATAAATCGTTTTTGAGATCAAAGTGGCAATCAATAATTAAAGAGTCAATGTATTTTTTATCAATAAACCTACAAAGGTGGCCATTTTGATAATAGGTGTCGTTTTGATATAACTCAAGATTCCAAGAAAAGTAACATAATCTAAACTTTTTTTAATATTTACTTAATGCCAAGCTGGTTTCTGCCTCATTCATGTTAT